GGCCAGTAGGTAAGGACTTTCCACTGGATCATAACTGCAGCGATGTATATGTTTTAGCTGAATACAGGTTTTTTAACCCTAACTGATGCAGTTAGTCACTTCTTTAATGTTTGTTCTTTCTGATGTAAAGTCAAGGTTGCAAGTGTTTGCAGTAAAGTCGTGGGGCGCTGAACTGTTCTTTTGATTCTTTTGATATATGATAGTAATTGCTTGCCTTTCAAATTTGAAGGAGGGTGAGCAAGCATCTTGAGGAACATTCATCATTAACTCCTCCAAAATATATAGTTTATTTAATAATAACACTGAATATGTGAATCATAACAGTGATTGCCAGCTGATATGAATAATATGATTGTTAATAGTATCATATTAATTCAGACAAACATCGATGAGACAGTTAATTAATGTATTATTGCAGCTGTCTGCATAGTTTTGGTACCCCTGCTGGTCTAAGAGTGAAACAAACTCATTCACTTGTGTGTCTCATTTGTTCAGAGACCGTGGCGCTCATTAGTGCCAAAACGCCACTATGAGACAAAGCACAAAGTGTTTGACCAAACATTCCCTCTCAAGTCAGAACTGAGGTCACAAAAAATAAGCAGTCTCAGAGCCCAATATGATCAGTCCACCAGGATCAAAATGAAAACTAAATATCGTTCCAGGGCAGGCTAACCGAGGCTAACCAATGAGCACCTCATATGTATGAGAATGGCCCTGACACCATTTCAGCCCAGATTTACAAACTCCTGGCAGGACAAGCTCGAGCTCAATTCTCGCACTGAATTAAAAAAAAGTGAGTGAGGGACTGCAATATAAGAGGGAAAGAAAGAGAAACTTTAAAACTGTTCAATTGTTATGATGTGTAAAGACTGATATTGTTCTATAATCGGCTGAAACTGTTAAGTCATGATGTGAAACGGTTACAAAGAAAAAAGGAAACTCAAGCTGCTGCTACACTTTATTTTATTTATCTAAAATTAAGCACTTTTATTTTATTTATTTTCTCTATTTTATTTTTCAATGCAGCCAGAGAGGAACATTACACATATCCACGTATTTTACTGTATATCTGTATAGTTCAATGTTAATTGACAATAAATATTGTTGTTTTTGAATTGTACTTTCTTTATTTGAATGGCAGTCAGTTGTTGATGACATGCAGACGTTGATAAAGCTGCAGGCTACTTCAATATATGTCACACTAATTCATAAAGCAAGTTAGACATTTGATGTTCCGGACCTTTGCATGGGGAGATTTTCCCTAACTGGACCTCATTGAATTTTAGTTGAATAACCCTGATGTATACAATATATATTTTATATAAACAGGAATAAGTCTCATTGAGATGTAAATCTCTTTCCCAAGACTCACCTTGCCAAGAGAACAGCAATAACTTTGCTACAACAATAAAGACAAACGACACAAACAGACCATAAGACACACTACAAATGAACGAGCACAATATCTACTCTAAAACAATTCTGATGCATGAAACGGGTAAAATGGGAATTCAGAGAATTTGTATATATTGTCGCAATTTCTAATCATTTGGTGTGCAGTTTCCAAAGACAATCAATGCAATAGCATTGCTTCAAGGCAACATTCCCCTTTGGAAATGCTGGGACAAACTCTGATGACCATTACCATTCTCCATCAATTTCCTGGCCGGTCAATGACAAATCAATTCTGGTTCAAACCTTCAGTCCCTCTGTTCTCAGAAACTCATCCCAAATGAGGATGAAGCAGAGTAAATCGACTGCAATGGTAAAAACTGGGTCAGAAAAGCACGGGGGGTTGGAAGGAATGGAACTGTAAAACGCAGCAATCCAATCTCATGTCAGGAGGACATTTAGATGAGGTTTTTCAGTAGTTGCAGAAGGTTTTAAATACTATGTATTTTCAGAGATGTTAAACAGAAAAGTTATACGAAGTTCGGCTGGGAATTTAAAGAAGAGAACAAGAAACCTTGCTATTAAGCCACTTTTTGGAACTGGATCTTGATATCTAAAGGCTGTTAATAAAATAGCTGTTTGTTTACCATAATACTAGCTTAATTTTACCATTTACATACGTCAGAAAAGCTGGAAAATGTCAATCAGTTAATAATGTCAGAAGACATGTTGTTGTTGAAGTTGCCTTCAGGAAAAACTCTTGAAGGATTCTTTTTTTTGCAAGAGAAGTGAGCTTGGTCAGAAGATAGGTTTGAAAACAGGAATTCTGCTGATGCTAAAAATATCTGCTGATGCCAAAAACATCTGTATACGTTACCAGCGTGTCCACAGCTTGGACTGTTTTAGTTATGAGGATTGCTGATCGTGTCAGAGGGAGATTTGCTGAAATGTAGAGTAGGGCATGAGGGAATCATGAATCACCTGGTCATGTGCTTCGGTGGAGTATCTAAATACACAGCCTCCTACAATGTGGAGGCTGTGTTTGTGACCCAGACATCAGTGTGAGTAAGGTCTCCTCCTCCATCAGCCTTTAAGAGATAAGAAGCTCTAGAAAAACAGAGATGTTGTAATCGAAGAGGAGGATACGCTTATTTTTTACGAGCACTAATAAGAGTTAAGAATAGAGATGTGGTTTCATCAATACCAACTTGAAACTGTCCAAACATGAAAACTAAGCACAGGGGTCTCTCTCTGAATAAGGACATTTTGATTTGCATTAGTGAGAGCAATGCTTTGTTTATTTGAATGTGCAAGTGCAAAATATTTGTTATCATAATTTCAGCGACACTGCTGCAGCTCAGGCTCACCCATTGTGCGTATATATAGCTGTGAGGTGTTAAGGTGTAACGGAAACTTGTTGGAAATACTAAGTTTGAGTTCAACTATAGCTCGGGGGAAAATTAAGAGACCACTCCAAGGGTTCAAGATCCGTTCTTGTGCTTTTCTGGTGCTTAATTGGTTCTTCTCTGTTTTTACAAGTGTGTGGTCGTGTTCTACTCACTTTGCTCAGCGCTACAGCTTGTTACAACTTGTAATTCCGTACTTGCCATTAACTGTTATTGCACAGGTTATTCTCGCCCCCCTCCGACGTAAGCGTCTTTGTTCTTGCCGGGCAGCCGATTGGGGCCAGCTAAGAACCGGGTTTCGGTACTGAGAGCCGGCTGCACTACATTGGAAACAGGAAGAACCAGAGCTAAATCAAGCTCTAGCCCGGAACCACGCTGAGCGGAAAGCCAGTTGCATTATTATATTATAACGAATAGACATTGAAATTGAATCGTGGTTTAAACGTAGCAGCACTACAGCAGGGAACGTGGACAGCGGAGAAAAAAAGAGAGCCAAAATTGAGCCAACAAAATCAATATCAGGAGTAGTATGCTTTGATGGGATTCACGTCAACAAACGGCAACCCGCCCCAGGCATTGTGTNGTATACCAGGGGTCGGCAACAGGCGATCCGGACCCAGACTCCGACCTATACGGACCCGGACCTATAATCAATACATTAATAGGGGATTTCAATTTTGACGGGGCCGTCAAAATTGAAATCCCCTATTAATGTATTGATTATAGGTCCGGGTCCGTATAGGTCGGAGTCTGGGTCCGGATCGCCTGTTGCCGACCCCTGGTATACATGTATAGAGAAAAGAATGATGCTCCTATAGGTTCTCATAGTTGCTGCTGAATTAGGTCAGAGAGAGTTCAAACAATCAATACATCACTGAAACATTTGGGAACAATTAGGCTATATGCCCTGACCCTTGTGTGTGTGTTCTCGTGTGTGTGTTCTCGTGTGTGTGTGTGTGTGTGTGTGTGTGTGTGTGTGTGTGTGTGTGTGTGTGTGTGTGTGTGTGTGTGTGTGTGTGTGTGTGTGTGTGTGTGTTGAGGGGAGGACAGAGGACTGAGTGGATTAACTTTGCTCTGACGACATCAGAGCTATCAAAAGCTCGGCTTAGCTACACACTAACAAACTCTTGTTTTCTGCACGGCCTTACAATCAGGAAAGACAACACAGACCCCATCATCATCATCATCATCATCATCATCATCATGCCACTCTCACTGAGGTGATCCTTCTCTGGGTATTCCTGCTTTGTATTCAGGGTAACTACCTCCTGGTCTGATTGGGTAATCAACCTTAAATGGCAAATTGCTGGCATGCTCTCTAAAGACACCCCCAGTGAATACCATATTACTGAGTATAATAGGTGACCAAAATTCATGAACAAAAAGCGTGTTTCACCAATTTACAATGCAGCTAAACGGAGTAATGGTTTCCAACACGTGGTAAGAAATGCCAATACAACGTGTCCAGCAACACATTTATGCAGAAAGAGTAACCGGAAACAACGACGCCATCTTCTGGTGACAAATCAGAGTTCAATTCAAGGTTCCCCTGCAATTCCTTTCAAATCCTTTTAAATTATATTTGGTTTACATGCTTTTTGTCATTTGTGTCAAGTAAAAGGAGCAACTGGACGAGTGGCAGACTTGGGATCTACATAGGAAGCAACCTCATGCACTCTCTTCACTCTTGTCTGATTAAGCAATTCTTGAGATTCTCCACTGTTTCACCGCTTTAGGTGTAACATGAGGACAGTTGGTTCAGGATGTTCAGTTGAGAATCAGAAGTGATTCTGACTGCAACAGACAACAGGATAACCTCATGCTGCTCTCTTATAACCTGGTGCAATCATTACCCGGTTGACAAAAAATGAATCGCCAAATATCTTGATAATCATTTAAAGTAATTTTTCATGCAGAAATTGCATTAATGTTTTTTTCAGCCTCTCAAGATTGGAGATTCCTTGCTTTTCTCTGTATTTTATCGTATTCAATAGGGGACGACGGATTATCGGCCTGGACGATTATCGAGGCCGATATTCCGCATTTCACAGATTATCGGTATCGGCTTTTTTAGCGTCTCGCGGCGGAGAAACTGTGACGCGCTGGAACGACTGGGGCGGCTGCTAGTGGAGCCTCGCAGCAACTCTGCTTTCTGCACCACAATCTGGTGCTGCTGAATTGGGACTACTAAATGAGTGCGACTCAAATATCAGAAGTTTAGAACAAGTTTTATTTTTACTTCATTTACTTTACTCAGGGTCACAGAGAAGAAACCAGTTTTAAGATGTTGAAAAGTTCATTAAACATTAAAAAGGCATTTCAAAGAAGTTGTGTTATTCTCAGGGCTGCACATAACTGGTGCGCACCCACCGCCAAAAAAGGAGCACCGGATCCAAATATCGGTTATCGATTTCCTTGATTACTAATAATCGGTATCGACCTTGAAAAAGCCATATCGGTTAGATAGTATTCAAACACAATATTTTTGGCCCAATTTCTTCTACTATTTTCTGACGTTTTATAGACCCAAACAATAAATGGATTCATCTATAAAATATTTTGCAGATGAATTAATAAGGAGAACAAACTGTTATTGCAGCCATAGGGCACATCTATTTAGATAAAAGTGATAGAATTATTTAAAAAGAAAAAAAGTCTTACCTGTTGCAGCAAAAAGGGGAGGCCACAGGAAAACATGAAAGGAAGAAAAGAGAAAAGCTGATTAATGACAGGGGGTCACAAGGTACACACAAGCTTGTTTTCTTCTTCAATATATCAAATTATTAAAATATATATATGGGATACTAACAGAAAACCTTCCTCCTGAGCTTAAAACACAGTTACTTTACAATAGCAATTAGCTGTTAAAGGCTCTTTAAAAAAAATTGACAACCAAGAAGCCAAAATATACCGTCCTGCTAAAATCCTTTTAAAAAAAAACAAAAAACAGCTGACTTATTGAAAGACAACACTGAGAGGCAAATGCTTAATCAGTACAGTGTATTATTGTTAAGACTGGTTGGTATACACTGCCACCTGGTGGAAACTACTGCAGACTCAGTCAATACTAATTCAACTCCCATTAAGGACCTGAATAGACCTCCGTCTGTAGGGTTGAATTTATGTCAAGTACTCGCTTTCTGCCAGAACGCCACCAATTAATCCCAAACACTTTGTTGTTCCCTGAAGTGTCTGACATGTCCAGACTCAACAAGCCTGCTGAGTCGCTCACTGCTTTTCTTTGAACACAAAGCCTCATTCAATCTGCACGCTTTCATCTCTGTACGGTATTTAACAAAAACAGTTTTCACTAAAGCAACATTAATTTGACATCTGATAGAGTTTGCAATCATGATGTGCTTTTCTAATGTCATTCACTGTCGTCAAACAAAAAAGCAATGTTTTTTAACACCTTAAATGTCATATGGTTGTAAAGTATATTATGCTCACAGAGTGCTCATCACTTAAATGCAGGGCCTATAATAACTGTTATGTGGGCTTTATTAGCCAATATGGAATTGTTTTAAGGTTAATTTATTTTTAAATGACAACTTATTTGAATAAGGCAAATAAATTGTAATTTTAAAAAAGACAAATAAAAAAAGTTATTTGCTGAACAAAGCCTAAAACAATGTCAGGTATTTTCTGTCATGTAGTGTTTCTCATGAGCCACTATAGGGACATGTAGCCCATTTTTCTAGAATACATTTCTCTAAATTCGTTTTTGTCTAGATTTGTGAAAAAGACAATTTATTTTAAACTGATAATTAGTTTCTGATTCTGAAAGTCCAATTGAAAACACATTGGGTCATTTAACATTGTTTGTATCAAATTCATGAATAGGCAAGATAATGGACTATGTCTCCTTTTGATATGGTAAAAAGTGTATCCGTACACATAATCCGTATATATTCCAATTAGACTTCATTCACAATAATTCCATTCCCACGGAACGTTCCCAGCTAGAATATTCCCCAAATTTGGCAACCATAGTCTACTCAGAAGGAATAGATGTTTGCTGAAATCATTGGAATCTTGCCCTTAAGCCCTGTTTGAGAAGCATGAGCTCCTACAAGACCTCATCAACCACAATCACACTTAAATACTACAAACCAACCATGCGATTTACAGTCATTAAATATATGTTAGGGTGAATAACAGTTATCCACTTCTCTCATGTCCACACTGTGGTGTACTTTGGTTGAGTCTTTCTTCAAGCACCAATAGGACGAAGGACAGCACCCCACTTCCTCGAACCATCTTCTGGAATAAGCCACACATGGACCAACTGTTCCCAGTTTAATTTGAGATTTGTTCTGTAAAATATTGTGTTTCTTACTCATAAATATGCTTACTGTGAATGGATTTAAACAATGCTTATCAGTTCCTTTCATCCTAAAATCCTTACCCCAGTTGTTTCATAACAATTCACACCATCATTTCTGTGAATGTATAAACTCTTATGACTGCTTTTGACCTCAATAACTCTCACATGACTCCGTCTCAAGTCTCAGACGATGAAGCACAAGAATGCGCCGTAAACCTTTTCAAACCAATTCATTTTCCAACTGCAGCACCACGCACTGAACATGTTTCATTCAGGAATGAGAAATGATTTAATGATAAAGGTGATGGACGAACTATCTCATGCAAACCTCGTAAATTGAAAAGCTGACTTTTAAATAAATAAATTACAAAAAGATGTGCATAGTAAAAATATGACTGAACGTGTATTGGCCAAGTAAGTCAAGTAGAATCATTCCCAGTCTTACAGGTAAAAAAAGAAATGTACCATCTCAGCTAGGGCTGAACGATATACCGTGTCATGGCGATAACCGCGATATGCGCATGCGCGATATTCACATCGCAGGGACGTGCGATTTATTTATTTGTTTTCTTTTTTAGGGTGTTCGATATTAAGTAGGTAAATTAACTCAAACACGTCATGTTACAATTATTTTGCTGCTTGCTACAAAAGGAAAACTTGCGCGGCTCTCATGTCAGGGGTACTTGAGTGGATTGACATGCAGGCTCTGAGTCTGCATGCACAGCAAACAACTACTTCAGATGCCTTTGCCGGTGTTACACCATATGAGAACGGTTCAAAACGGCATAAAGGAGCTGGTGTATAGCTGTTCTTAATTTTATTTTTATAATATTGTTTAAAAGATGTTTACTACTGCTGTTTGCACAAAAAAGGTTTTAATTGTGGAATAAAAAGTTAAATTACCTATTTGGTCACGTATGTTAATTCCCTAATGTGATAATGAAGCTTCCTATAGTTTAATGTAATACGTTTAATCTCTTGGATCCCTTCTAGACACCACTCTTCTTCATTCACAGATGAACCCCCTTATTTGAGGGTAAGCAACATGCATTATCATGACATGTTGGATCATGACTTAAGGTATGATGAGTCAACCACCTAGCTTAGCACTTTCTACTTTTGTTGTTATTTTTGTTTTACTTGCTTGTAAGTGCTTTGATCACCAGGAAAAGCGCTTTATTAAATGTAATGTATTATTATTATTATTATTAATATATGTAGATCCATAGGGTGGGCCTGCTGTATGTGGGCAGTTCACAGCTTGCCTACCAGCAGGTGGTAGTACAGCACTATTTACAGAGCTGAAAATAGTTGGCATTAATGCTAGAGTATCCGTGCCAAAACAGACCATAGGGAATGTATAATGTATATATAGCCAACAGCGCATTAATCCAAAAGAAAGGAAAAAAGGTTGTTTAATGTATATCTGGTTACTCTAAAAATAATTAGGGGAGAGGCTCTGACATACCAATTTTAAATCTGAAATGTAACCATACAGTCTCTATATTTATGGTTATTTTGAATATATAATACATTCTGATTATTTATTTTTTATGAGAGATGCCTATGCAAATCCCCCTGCTGCGGGACTAATACAAGATGATCTTATTTCAAACAGAGATTGCTTTACACTTTTAAATTGAATTGTTTTTTCTATTTTTTTTTTTTTAAAACAGTGCATCTCCTGCACACAATCAAATGAACTCGCCCGTATTGACAGAGCAAGTCCGTTTGTGTGGGCTGTGTGAGTAAATTCAATATATGGGAAATAATAGGGACAGTACATGGACATTTAAGTACCAGACACACAAATGATGAAGTGGCTCTGTGCTTAATTTGTGCTATTAAGAGAAGCAGCTGGCTAGACTATTGAGAGATAATGTATTTGATAAACACACAAAAAAAAGAAATGTCTCTGTCCCTCCAGCAGCCTTCCTCACTCAGCCACAAAGCGTAGAGAAAGGGATTAGCTCACACAAAGCGAGTGAATGAATATCGTCCCTGTGGGAAAGACACTCGCTGGATAGATCTCACGTCATAACAGCCTCACAGAGAGCCTGAGCAAACCACATGAGCCAACTTTCCCCCTGTGACACTTCATGATGATCATCAGACTTGTTCTAATATTTCAGCAGGACATCTGTGTTTTTGAATAGAGCCTGTCTAACCATTTTCTCTTACTCATGCTGGTTTTGCCAAGCTAGACTAACCCCGTCCCAACTGCAGCTTCGCACAGGCATGAGATTGCTCTTGTTATCTCACTCACTAAAAAATATTTAAGTCTATTCTTAGAAAAAGATCAATGACCAATATGTCAAACTATTACTTTAATAGACTGGGAGCATGTTTAATTTCAGTTTTTTTTGCTTCAAGGTGCATTTTAGTATCACAACTAGGGATGCACCGAATATTCGGCAACCGAAAATTTACGACCAAAAATGGTTAAAAAGGCCCTTTCGGCCGAAAGGATTTTAGCACCGAAAAAATATCACTGAATGTCAGAGAACAGGGTTATGTTGATCATACTCCGCATATTTGTCCGGGTGTTTTGATTTCAAGTGGTGGAGTAATCCCAAAGTGGTGAAAGTCTTTGCAGTTACACCCCCTCGAGAAATGTCAGCTGAACACGTTTTACAAATCGCAATCCGCGCCTCTTTCTCTGATATTTTGAAATATCTCCAAGCGGCAGACATGTTGGCTGTGAGCCAGCCGCGAGCATGGTCACGCGCCGTGCTTGTCGCCGCGTTTTGATTACGTCATCACAACAACACGTTAGGTTACCAAACTTATAGGTGCATTTGTTGTTGTTGAAGGCCTGGCTGTTAGTCTTTAATTACACTATTTTGTTGTAGGCCTACTGGCCTAGATGTTTATTTTAAAGCACCTTGGCTTTGTTTTGAATGCACTTTGTTGTAGTTATCCTACAGAGAAAAGAAAATTCACTTGACTTGGAATTAATCTACTGTATGCATTCAAAAGTGCTGAATAAATGTTTTATGGACCCATAATAGTGATTATTAAGTTAAGTTAAGTTTTGCCATAATCATGTCTTTTTCCATAATCAGGTAGCTGAACAACATTGGTAAAAAATGTATACATTATATATATATATATATTTCTATTAATAATTTTCGGCATTCGGTTTTCGGCCAACTGTTTCCTATTTTCGGTATCGGTTTCGGCCAAGAATTTCCCATTCGGTGCACCCCTACACAAGGGTAATAACCGGAAAAGCATGACATGGGCCCTTTAAAACATGGAGACATGTCACAGTAGAGGCACAGAATACAATTAGGAAGGAAAACAGTTAGTAGGAAATTAGCCATTCTTATGC